TGTCATTTGCAAATCTTCTCCCATTCCGTTGGTTGCCTTTTAGTTTTGCTGATTGTTTCCTTCCCTGTGCAGAAGCTTTTTCTTTTGATGAGGTCCCAATAGTTCATTTCTGCTTTTGTTTCCCTTGCCTCTGGACACATGTTGAGTAAGAAGTTGCTGTGGCTGAGGTCAAAGAGGTTTTTGCCTGCTTTCTTCTCGAGGATTTTGATGGCTTCCTGTCTTACCCATTTTGAGTTTCTTTTTGTGGATGGTGTAAGAAAGTGGTTCAGGTTCATTCTTCTGCATGTCGCTGTTCAGTTTTCCCAGCACCACTTGCTGAAGAGACTGTCTTTATTCCATTGGATATTCTTTCCTGCTTTGTCAAAGATTAGCTGGCCATACATTTGTGGGTCCATTTCTGGGTTCTCTATTCTGTTCCGTTGATCTGAGTGTCTGTTGTTGTGCCACGTTTTTATGCCTTTTTACACCTTGGTGCCCCTGTTCACGCCTTCGTACCAGCCTTCTGCTGATGCAGGCCCACCTTCCCGGCTGCCCACCATCCTCTCTCTGTAACCACTTGATGGGGGGAGAGTGAGGGCCACACTGTGGGGCAGAGTATGGAAGAGGCCCGTGAGTGGCCTGGACGGAAAATGCTGGCTTGAGACCAGGCAGCTTCCAGCCCCTTTCCCACGGGGTGATGGAGCCCCAGGCTCAGGTTCTGACTCAGGAGGAGGCCCACCCCACTCTGGGCTGCCACTGGGTTGGACCAGCTGATCCCAACTGATCTTCTAGCCCATACATAGTGCCACGGAAGCCAGCTGGGCCATCTGGGTCTGGGGGGGAGCTCCCAGCCCCTGGGGGCTTTGCCCTAAAGACCAAACCTCTAGCTCTACTGCCGAGCCTCCCTTCTCCTTAAGCAGTTTCCACTCGCTGCCTCTCTGGAGCAGGCCCCCTGCGTGTGCTCAGTGCCATTCAATTGCTGTGCAACTTGAGGCCTGTCCTCAGCCTTGCAGAGCCTCTGTCTTCCTCATCCAGAACATGGGCGATTCCCTCCCTTGCCAAGACAGGGCACACACCATGCCACCTGGCCTGCTCCAGGCCAGGCTGGTTCAAAGTGCAGAGGGGCTGCTGGTGGTAAAAGAGGATGGCCTGGGTTCAAATCCTGCCTCAGCTATGAGCGGGCTCAAGACTGGGGCTCCCTGAACTTGTTTCCTCCTTGATAAAATGGAGACAAAATGACACCTGCCTCGTGGCACTGTTGAATGATTCAAAGAAACCCGTATACAAAGTGTGTGGTGCTGCATTGTAGCTATAGTCACTGGCATCGTTTTGCATTTTCCCTGTCTCTTCTCCCTGGACTGAGTTTGCTGTTCAAACAAGGTGTTTTCCTGGGACTTGAGGGTGTCTGGTGCAGCACTGCAGCCCAAGCCATGTGTGAGAAAGGACAGGAGGCCTCCATGCAGCTCCCTGCCCATCAAAGGAACAGCACAGAACCAGAGTCCAGTGGGGCCTGGGCGTGCAGGGCAGGAGCTGCATGGTCTGGTTCAGACGGTCTCTATAGGTCACTGCCCCTCAGCGTCACCTGTGAAATGGGATGAGTGCAGGAATGAGAGGGAGTGCACAGTGGGATGGGGACAGCGACCAGCCACCGGCCCCTGCTGACTAACTGATGGACTGTTCTCTCCCCCAGAGACTGATGGAGAGGCAGAGACGGAAGGCGGACATCGAGAAGGGGCTGCAGTTCATTCAGTGAGTGTGGGGCTGGCTGGGCGGGCGGGGGGGCCAGGGATGGCAATGCCCGGGCTCTCTCCAGCTCTCCCTTTTCTTCTCACTCATCCTTTGCTGCTCAGGCTCCCTTGTGTGCTGGGGGGTGAGGAGGTGGGTTGTGCTAGGAAGGGGCTGGCATGGCAGGGGCTGGGCAGCCGGTGGGCGATCTGTGAAACCACCCCCATGCACACACACTCCCTGACCCTGGTCACCCTTCAGTCCCGCTCAGCATCCCACTGTACCCTCGCCCTCCTTACACGCTGGCACGCTCCCTGTTAATTCTCCCGCTTGCCTGTGCACAGCTTATAATCAATCAATAAATCAGTTTCCATTTATTAAGCACACCTCCCAGGCTCTGTGCTGGGCCCTTCATGTCCATCATCTTCTTAATCCTCACAACAGC